ATTTGACAGGAATGAGTAGGTTGGCTGCAGTTATAAGGTGGGTGAGGAGGATATGACGCGACTTGGGCAAGGGGCTTGGGAGGATCAGGAATAGTAGCGCCTGTGGGGTGATTGGCACTTGGATTCCCGTAATTGTTTTAAGCATTTTCCCTATATTGTTCCAGTATTTCTGGAGTGATGGGCAGGTCCACCAGGTATGGGCTAGTGAGGCCCCCCTTTGGGTGCATTTCCAGCAAATGTCGTATGTGTTTGGGAACAGGCTATGTATTTTGGATGGTGAGTAGTGCCATCTGGCAATTCTCTTGTAGTTACCCTCCTGGAACGCGGTACATATCGAGGTGGCGTGCGTTTGCCAGAAAATAGTGTTCCATTGGGGGTTTGTGATTTGGGTGTTTAGGTCTTTGGCCCATGCGTCCGTGAACGGCGGTAATGTTTTAGTGGCTTCCAGGCCACGGAGTTTGTAGAATGTCGATAGTAGTTTTGTTTTAACATTGCTCGTTTTACAGTGTATTTCGAAGTTTGTGAGCGCGCGAGCACCTCTGTATAGGATAGGTTTGTCCCTGATGAAGTGTGTCACCTGGGCATAGAGAAAATATTGCATTGGCGTGTGAGTGTCAAGTCTTATCAGGTTGGAGAGGGGGCGAATGCGGTGGCCTTCCAGTAGAGTGTTAAGTTGGAGGTACGTCCCCTCTGGTGTGTTCTGTAAGGCGAGGTATGGCTTGGCTGTCATGCCCGGGGCGAAGAGTGGGTTATGGGTAATGGGGTACAGGGGGGATGGGTGGGGGGACAGATTAGTCGACTTGCGGATGCGCGACCAGGTGAGAAGCGTGGGTCGGATCGTCGGGTGTTTAGTGTGGCTAGGGAGGAGTGTTGATAAGGTCGCTTGTTGCCACGGGATTGTATGTATGGGGGAGTTAAAAATGGAGCTTTCCAGCTTTATCCACTGACGTGCTGGGGGGTGAGTCGACCATTCATATATACGTGATAGGACTGTTGCTTCGTGGTAATGTTCAAGATGTGGTAGACTCAGTCCACCTTGGGATTTATGTCTGGTGAGGATTTCGTATTTGATCCTCGGCTGTTTATGAGCCCATATGAAAGTTGTAAACAGTGTCCTTAGTTTGATAAAGAACAGCTTGGGTATAGCTATGGGTAGGGTATGGAATAGATATAGGATCTTAGGGAGGGTATTCATTTTTAGGATATTGATCCTGCATAGCCAGGAGTATTGTGGTTTATTCCACGCTTGCAGGTCTTTTGAGATAGATTGGATGAGTGGTTCATAATTTAGGACATAGGTGGAGTTTAGATCTACCGGGAGGCGTACGCCCAAGTAGGTTATTGCTGATTCTGCCCATGTAAACGGGAAACGTGTTGTGAGGGAGGCACGGGTTTGGGGGGATATTTTGACTGGAAGGATTTCGCTTTTGGTGAAATTGACTTTAAAATTGGATAGCTTGTGGTAGAGTGCTATTTCCTCTAGAAGTGGAGGGAGAGAGGTGTCTGGAGATTGGATGGTGAATAGGAGATCGTCGGCAAAGGCCGATATTTTGTACTCTGTGTGTGCCACTTGTATCCCTTGTATAGCCGGGTTATTTCTAACCCCATTGAGAAAGGGTTCCAGTATAAGGATGAAGAGAAGAGGAGAGAGGGGGCAACCTTGTCTCGTGCCGTTTTTGATGTGTACCGGGTTCGAAAGTTGTCCATTTATCCGCAGTCTGGCTGTGGGAGTGGAGTAGATGGAATTCATCCACCTTAGCCAGTTAGGGCCAAAACCTATTTTGTCCAGGGTGGTTATTAACAGGGTCCAGTCCACCCTGTCAAATGCCTTTTCGGCGTCTATTGATATCAGGAGGCTGTCTGTCGGTAGGTGTTGTGCAATGTATAGTAGGTTTAAGATTTTTGTGGTGTTGTGCTTTGCTTCTCTATTAGGAACGAAGCCTGCTTGATCGTCGTGTATTAGAGATTGTAGTAGGGGTCTTAGTCTGGTGGAAAGAATTTTCGTGAATATTTTTAGGTCTAGGTTTATAAGGGATATCGGTCTATAACTCCCACAATTGGTCGGGTCTTTGCCTGGTTTCGGTATGAGGGTTATGTGTGCTTCCAGTGATTGGGGGGGAAGGGCCTGGTATTGTGTAAGGGAGTTGAGGGCCTCTACTAACGGTGTTGTCAGGTGTTCTTGGAATGTTTTGTAGTATTTGGCCGTAAACCCGTCTGGTCCTGGGCTTTTACCCAATGGGAGGTGTCGTATGGCGGTTTGTACCTCGTCTTGTGTAATGAGGGCATCCAGGGAGGAGAGTGTGTGAGTCGGGATTGTCTTATGTATTCGTGAGGAGAGATATTGCTCAATATCTGCAGTGGCTGGTGGTTTGCTTCTAAGATTGTAGAGGTCAGTATAAAATATTTGGAAGGCTTGAAGGATTTCTGGGAGTTTATGGGTCATGGAACCGGTAGATGTTTTAATTTTAGCTATGAATGTTGATTGTCTCTGTTGACGTAGGGAGTGTGCTAGTAAGCGGCCGCATTTGCCCCCCTGGGCAAAGTATTTATGTTTAGTAAGAAGGAGGTTGCGTTTGACCTTGGAGTTTAGTAGATCGCACAGAGCTGACCTTTTAGCTGTCAGGGCTAAATATACATTAAGGTGAGTGTGCTGTTTATGTTGTTGTTCAAGCAATCTTATGTCGTTTGTGAGGGATTTGATTTTGGCTTCCCTGAGTTTCTTAAGTCGGGATGCTGTACATATCAGTTCACCTCTAATAACGCATTTGTGTGCTTCCCACGCAGTTGGGGGGCTAATCATGGGAGATGTATTGAGGTGGAAGTATTGTCGTAGTGCATTATTGATATTGGCCGTTACTGTGGGATCGTTCAGGAGGAGGTCGTTGAGTTTCCATTGGAAAGATTTCTGGGGTAATGTGGGTATGTGCATATCTAACGTTAGGGGTGCATGGTCTGACCAAGTAATTTGGCCATATCTGCTGGACTGGATGAGATGGAGAAATCTATGTGGGACAAAAAACATGTCCAGTCTGGAATAAGTGTGTGTTACAGTTGAGTAGAAGGAGTAATCCTTTGCTGACGGGTGAGTTGTTCGCCAGCAATCATAGAGTTGTGCGCGGTCTAGTAACGTCGTCATTTGTTTCCGTGCCGACGCTTGGTATTGGGTCGTGTGGGATGTCGTGTCCATCTGAGCGTCGGTTGATAGATTAAAGTCGCCCCCCATAATTAGTATACCCTCTGCAAATGATTCTATTTGCATTAGTTGTTTCTTGAGGGTGTGGCATTAACGTCTGTTCGGGAGGTACGTGTTAACTAATGTCACTGTAGTTTGGCCAATTTGGCCCTTTACCATAAGGAGTCTCCCTGTATCGTCTGTCTTGTGTTCGGTGTAGGTGAATGGGAGATGGGTTGACAGAAGTATTGCCACTCCCCGTGATTTAGCTGTTTCAAAGTCGCTGAAATATCCCGTTGGGAATCTGCGATCTCTGAATGTAGGGGCCATATTTTTTTTAAAATGTGTTTCCTGGAGGAAGGCTATATCTGCTTTCAGATGGTGAAGTTCGTTGAGTGTCATTTTCCTTTTCTCGGGAGTGTTGAGGCCTCTAACGTTAAGGGTAATGATACGTATGTGTGCCGTCTCAGGGTCAGTTGGTTGTGTGGCGTTAGTGTCTGCCATTATTGGTGCGAACTTGTCACGGGGGGAGGTTATTTTTAAACTTGGAGAGGTACAGGGATTGTACCTTTGAACTATATACAGTAAATATATGCGGTTTCAACTTGTACTACAGTAAGTAATATGTTGGGATATTGTTTGGGGGTTTCCCGTGGTGGACTACCCCGGGCGGATATTTGCCTTGTGGGTAGGTGGTGTGCACCTGGGTTAGGTCAGGTGGACCTAGTAGTGGAGCTGCTTGTCACCTGGATGATAGTAGGTGAATATTTTTGGTCTTGGCTTCCTTGGGTAGTGTGTGTTTACCTCAGAGCTAATGTCTGCTTGGGGTAAGAATCCATGAGTGGTAGCGCTTGGCTTGATTGGAGGGGCAATATTTAAAGATGAGACATTCTTGTCTCGGGTGGGGTGCAGGATGGATCTGAGTTGTAGAGGAGATATGGTCTCGTGCTAAATGCCATGGGGGGGAGGTGGTGGTAGTATATATATACTGTGGGGGACGCCGGTGCGTGAGATGTCAGAGGTGTTTATATGGGGCGTTTGGGTTACCTGGACCGCAGCCCTTCAGGTTGTGGAGGGAACCCTTCTGTTGTGGTCTGGCGCTGTGCATCGTCCTATGGCGTCGGTGTTGCAGTGTGGCTTCCTGCTTCCGGGTATGAGGAAGGTGGATCCCGTATAATCTATTTGTCACACAAAATACATACATATGTAAGACATTATACATTGAATTTCAGAACAGTGTATTGGCACAAGAATCTTGAACCACCTGGGACGGAATAAGTCCACCTTTCCCATCGAGTAGTATTGTTACTTCCGTTTCCCATGTTCTGTCCCCTGTACTGTCTGTTTTGCGTTCCCCCGGGTTGTGTGTCGTAGCCGTCGTCTGTGTCTTTTTACGTTAATAATTTTTTTTTTATTATTTTTTTTTTTTAGTTTCTACAGTATAGAGAGGGTGCTAGGAGATGATTTACTGCATTTGCAAGGTTAGGGAAGGTCAACACTCGTGGCGTAACATAGTCTGGATGCCGTCACTCTCTGTCCCTCCATGGCCCCTGGTTACCCTTGTCGTTGAGCAGGCCTGGGGGGGTGGGGTGGGGGGGGCAGTCCTGTCTTAGGATGCTGGAGCCATCCTGTATGGAATGAAGGGAGTGCGGGTGTGTAAACAGTAGGGGGGGGGGCAGTATGTCTGGTCTGTGGTCGGTCCTCAGGGTCTGTTCCTCATCTAGCTGTGCGTATCGGGGGTGGCTGTACAGTATGAGAACCCGTCCCCTTGTCTACAGCAAGGACATATTAAGACATTTGAGGTCATGGATAGTTCGTATATAGTTACTTATCCTCTCCTTTCGGTGCCATGGGTCAACTCGTATCGGATAGCCGTTTGGAGTATGGGGCGTGCACCCGGCAGGAAAATAGGCAGAGGCACCTTGTGGGTTCGGGTGAGGCCAGATACCTTAGGACTGTCTATGTAAGTGAAATAGTTCCCGGCCTTGAGTCTTGCGTATCCCAGGCTCTGGCTGTTGCAGTCCTTCTTCTCCTCGGGGTGCGATTTGGTGTCTTGTGTTGTCCTGTTTGAGTACGTGGAGGGTATGCTTGTTTGTGGCCGTTGGTGTAGGCGTCGTCTGTCCGATTTTCGGGGTAGTTCGTCTGTTTGATGGAGGAAAATCAATGAATATCTCAGGGTGCACAGGGTCCGCATGCGGTGTTACGGTGTCCCTCCCAGTTAGTGCCTTACATCATCTCCTGGTGTGGTCGGTAGGGTCTCGTGGATCAGTCCAGCGTAATGCGACGGCTTGGTGCCTACCGGCGTCCAGAGGGGTGTATTGGTATTGTGGATGGTTCAATCTAGAGGCATCGTGGAGGCTTGGGGGAGTGCAGTGGTGACCATATCTTTTCTCTGGGTTGGTGTGCGGGATGTCATGATGTCTAGTGGCGCATTTGGGGAGGATGTTGTGAGTGATCTCCCGGAGGTTGAGCAGCGTATTCCGGTCGTCTTCTCTTCGGAGGCTGTTGCCAGGGAGGTCTTTGCTGTTGCCTCGGCATGTTAGGGGTAGGGGTTGGACCGTACCAATCTGGGATCCGGACTGCTGTAAGTTCTAGGTCCCGGATGAACACCGGTACGTCCTTAATTGAGGAGATGGTATAGGTGTTGCCCCTTGTAGTCACGGTGAGGGAGAATGGGAACCCCCATCTATACCTGATGTTCCTTGAGCGGAGCTGATCCGTGACCGGTTTCAGAGACCTGCGTGCCTGTAACGTTAGCCATGAGAGGTCAGGATATATTGCCACTTCTGTTCCGTGGAATAGTAGCGGTTGTTGCGAGTTGCGTAAGGCCTCTAATATTTTGGCTTTGCAGTCGTAATAGTGTAGACAGCAGATTACATCCCGTGCCGTGTCTGCTTGAAATCCCCGCGGGCGCAGGGCTCTATGAGCTCTATCAAAGGCTATTGGCGTTTCTGTAGGCCTGTCCAGGATCAAGTTGAATAGTTCCTGGAGAACTGCATTGAGATTTTCCCGGTCTTCCTCTGGTATGCCTTTTACCCTTAAGTTATTGCGCCTTCCCCGGTTGTCGAGGTCGTCGAGGGAGCGCTGCATTGCCGAGTATTGGTCGGTGTGTGCTTCCAATGATTCCGTGAGTGTGTTCAGCTGTGTCTGCATCACATCCCTGTCGTCCTCCAAGGCGGTGACCTTCTGTTTAGTAAGCTGGAAGTCCGCCCCAATGGCGTCTAGTCTCTCCTGGAAGGAGGCTTCTAGTTTTTGTAGCATCTGTGCCAGGTCCGTTTTGGAGGGTAGGGCCCGAAGCATAGTTTTGATGTCCCCTTCTGATGATCTTATGGTGTCTTCTGACCCCGTGGGGCTTGATGGTGGGGAGAGTGTTTGCGGCGAGGCCGGCGTCGTGGTAAGGCCTACCGGGTCTGTTTGCTGGTCGCTTGTGTCTCGGAAAAATTTAGTTAGAGACCCCGGTTTTCCTGTGGGGGTCTTCCCTGTCGTTTGGTGCCCACTGGTAGCTCGTTTGGGATGTCCCATTATAAATTTTAGTGCCCGATGGCTTCGGATTCTATTTCCCTAGCAGAGGAGCTCGTTTAGAACGCGGCCATGCGGCTCGGCTGCTTGCTCCGCCCCCTTACATATATGTATTTTTTATTTATTTATTTTTTATTTTTTTTTATTTTTTTTTACGTATTTACATATTTATTTATTTTATATTATATATAAATATATACATAATGAAAATTATATATATATTTAAGCAATATCATTGTACGTGTACTTTGATATGAATATATATAACTATAAATATATATAATATTAAAATACACTTAGACAGTGTATATGTATTTATCCTATAGTCTGTAAGCTCGTTTGAGCAGGGTCCTCTTCAACCTATTGTTCCTGTAAGTTTTCTTGTAATTGTCCTATTTATTGTTACATCCCCCCTCTAAAAATATTGTAAAGCGCTACGGAATCTGTTGGCGCTATATAAATGATAATAATAATAACAATAATAATAATGTGTATGTGTGTATATGTGTATATATATATACTTAGATCATATATATATAATAAATTACATAATTTAATTTTCAACTGTTTTAAACGTCCATGTGATCACATGGCCCAGGGGGGCCAAAGAGGATGGAGGGGAACTCCCTGGGCTCCCAGGTAAGTCCCCATACCGCGATAACCGGGTAAGTAGAAAGGACCGTTTGGGCGATCTATGCCGCCCTCCGGCATTTAGAGCCGGTTCCTTAAGGACGGCATAGAACGCCTGCCGTCCTTAAGGGGTTAAATGCACTTTAAGTGGCAGTCTTCCTAACAGCCACTAGAGGCACTTTGTCCTCCTCCTCCAGACTGAGTAAAACTCACTGTTAACAGCATCTGATTGGAGAAGCAGGGCATCTGGCCACATATGTCTTTATGAGGAGCCATGGATTGGAGGATATCACTGGTGATGCAGTTTGGATGCTGACATCACCAAAGGAGGACCTGGAGGCTGCAGTTGAAAATTCTCATTGCTGAAAACCTGGTGAGTAAACTCATTTAATATAATTTGACTGAGCAAAAAGCAGTGAACAGTAGTTACAAAGCTATAAGGGAATCTAGAGTCCAGAAATAACTGCTAATTGCTATTTTTGGAACTACAGGTTCCCTTAAAGAATTTTAATCTGTTGCGGAATAAAAATAAAAGGGATAAAACTCGACCCCATGTATTTGAATATAAATAATATGGATGGAGAGAGGAAAACCTCTCATCTTAAAACACATCCAGTTTTATTTGTTAAATCCAGAAATTTTAGATAATTAGCAAGGGCCAAAATAGTAAAAATGGTCAAGCTGGGATATTAGGTGTGTTGGAATTTTTTGTTTCAATTTCGCTATTTGGCCTAAAATATTTATCATGCCTTGCCTGCTCTCAAAAATTCCCATTATGTGAATAACCCCAATAGTTTTTGTTTGGCATTTTTTTCATTTATGAAAAATTTATTTTTTCTGCAATTAGATAAGACGAAGATAGCAAGAATTCTTTCATTTTACCAATTAAATGCATGCAGTGCTGTTAATATTACTTTGAAAATGCCAATAAAGAAAATGTGTACTTATAAAACAAACATTACAAGGAGGCATATAGCATTCAAGGTTACAAATCACTTGAAGATAATGCACTTACTGGCTTTAGTTTTGATTGTAGGAAGTATTTTCTTGTTGTGGTTTTTTTGATAAAGGTTTCCCTCTGTGAATCTCATTACTTACATGTTCGCAGTACACATTCACTTCCCTCGGGTTTCCTGACCAATTTGAAGATTAGAGAACCCAAGGAAGGTAAACAAATGTTTGACGTTGTTAAATGTGCACAAGGAGCAAAACAGCTAAAAGAGATACTGTTAAAAAAAACTTAAAGGGATATTATAGTGCTAGGAATACAAATCTGAATTTGAGCACTATAGTTTCCTTTGGCCTCCTCCCTCCCTCAAGTCCCCCCTCCCTCCCTCAACCCCCCTGACCCCCTCCGCAGAGCTGCAAGTGTTAAAAAAAAACCTTGTAACATGTACCCAACTCCAGTGTAGATTTTCCTCAATGCTGGGTCGGTGCTCTGCCTCCTCAGACGTTATCTGACGCAGGGCTAATATTCATGCACAACGAGCACTGCAAGCATATTAGGCCCTTCCCATAACAAAGCATTGAATCAATGCTTTCTAATGGGGTTTTCATTGATGCTGTATGTCCTCATGGTTCTAATGGCTGTTTAAGCGCTGCAATGTAAACATTACAGTTCCTCTAAAACTGCAATGTTTTACATTTCAGGACTAAGAGCAATAGGGACCCTGTACCAAGACCACTTCAATGAAGCAGTGTGGGTGCCTATAGTATCCCTTTAATGATAACATCTTTAAGCTCCTAAGGACCAATGACAGCTCTGCCATTATCATGGTTTGGACTCTAAACCATGATAGAATTATGATTAACAAAAAAACATGATTAAAAAACCTTCCAAAATGGCATTATTACTACAAGCGGTACTGAAGAGCTTGAATACGCTAAACGACCAGGTCACTCCATGTCGGAATACAATCTATAGGGACAAATTTCTTTACTACTGTAATCACTAGACTAGTGCATGGTTGGAAAATGACTTCACCTCAATGAATTTGACTAATACAAAAGTGAATGGCAGCAATCATTCCAGGAAAGTCTTGCATTCCTTTCTTAAGAGCATCCGATAGCTACATACCAAAGCAAACACTCATAAGGTAAGCTGGTCTTTAATTTGATAGAATAATTAAAACCTGGTAAATTTGCCCTCTAGTGTATTCTTCCAATGGAAAACATCTCTAAGGAGAATTAAAATTGAGGTTTTTATATAAAAGACAATATTAACTATTTAATGGGGCACACAAAGAAAGCAGCAATGAAACAAAAACTGATCACCTTGTACAATTTGGTCATGTAGCACACAGTCCTCTTTTCGAACGATAGTGAGGCTATAGTAAAATGCAGCATGAACATTAACATTGCTCACATTGTGCTTGTAGTGAACTACAGGACATTTTTGCCAATAGGTGACCTTATCAGCAGTGCTGATTGGGAAAAACTGATTGACTGCCTGTTTTTTCAGCCTGTCAAGCATATATGCCAGATGACATGTCCCATATGTGGGTAGACACATCATCCCTTGTGCCAAATGTGTCCTGGACATACTAGACTGCCAGGACCACCCTCTCACAATTTTAAACCTGCCAAACTCACACAAGGTTAACCAGTAAATATTACTTTCACTAAAGAAACTAAAACTGGAAATGATCAAATTCTGCCCTGAATGGCAAATCTCATATTTTCTAAAGCCAGTTTCAGTCAGAATTCAGTTGTCCGACTGACTTTGCAGCAATCGCCCAGATGCAATCCAGTGTCCAGATTGCCATTGCGGCCAGTTACTAGAAAGACCCCATTCCATGGGCTTTTTAGCAGCTCAGTGCCCAAATCATCATATTCGAGGGTGGACCTTGTGTCACCCCCTAGCATCCACCCATGGGCAGCTTTTAAACCTCTCTTATGATAATATTGGGGTCTAGCAAGGTTTGACCAGCCACCACTTAATTAAACCTCACACCGCCAATGGTTTTTAACTATTTGCCCACAGCAAATAGTTCCGATATGAATCCAGACCAAATTTAGGCCTCTTTTGAGCCAGAATTGCAAAGT